GTGCCATTTCTCGTGTGGGTTTCGGGGCCATACCTGCAGGAAGTGGGGATGGGAAGGGGCAGATGGTAGACCCACTGACCCCCCAAAACATGTCGTAACAGGCGACAAATTATTTTTTCATTGCTCTGTTGTGTGATTCTATGTCACATTGGGCTAGCTGTCTTTTCCTCCATTTCGTTCTATCCTGTGCAGTCAGTTCGATCATTAGGATGTAATCCAGTCAGCACCTTTGGCTTTTCTGCTCAGCGTTCGGTTTAGGGTTTCTGTTGAACCTTTTCGCTTTCTCTACTCTTTTATTTCCCGCTGTGGTACCTTCTTGGTGTTTATTTCCTCGTTTCTTCTTAAAATATGTACAATACAACTCCACCTTCTTTGTCTTTAAACTGTTGTTACCAGTGGTTGCCCAGATATTTTCTTTTATTTCTTCACCCCTCTTGAAATCATCCCTTTTTAGGGTCAACATTTTCCTGATTCATTTGTTTTCCGATGCATTTAACGTTTGTTCCATGTCTTAAGTGACATTCTAACGTTCACTTGCATATTCTTTTTCTTCTGCCTTATTTACCCCCAGGGAAGCATAGGCCCTCAACCGACTCACGCCAAGTCGTTATGTCCTTCGCTATCACGTACAGCTCTCCCCCTGTCCTCCCCATCTTTTAAACTTCACTCTCTAGCTCTGTTTTCCATGTGTTTTTTTGGTCTTCCTTTATTTCTATGATGCTGTGGGTTCCAGTGCAAAGGCATTCTAGTTCTGTTGTTCTCAGATTTTCTCAAAGCGTATCCTGTCGTCTTTTCCTCACCTCTTGGTATACTGGAACCTGTTTAGTCTACATTAGTGATTCTGTCATACAATTTACCTCCGTCTATTCTGCGCAGGCACCAGTTAATTATTATGTGTTGTTGATTAGTAATTGCCTTAGTTGTTCTCCGTATCTATGTTCCATACAACAATACTAATTTGATATTTGAATTTAAAAATGTAGGTTTAGTTTTGGTTTTGATTTCTTTTGACCTCCACAAATTCCCTAGTGATATGAAAGTAAATCTTGCCTTTTGTATTCGTATTTTAATATCTCTTTCAGTTTCCCCATCTGTATCTACATTACTGCCCAAATAGTTGTGCGACACCAAGTTTCTGAGTGGAATACCATTAAGACAGATCACATTACTTTTTGTCTGGCTCGTTCCCATTATCTTCGTCTTTCCCGTATGGATTTTCAGACCTAACTGTTATGACCTCGTATCGAGTGTATTTAATTTAACTTGCATCCTATTCCGTAAATGGGACACACGAGAAATATCATCAGCGAAGTCCACCTTATCAAGCTGTTTTGTAGGGGTCCACTGAATTCCATTCTTGGTGTTAGCGGTTACTGTCTTCATAATCAATTCTATAGCCAGGGAAAATTCGAGTGATATGAGCCAAGCTGACGACTATTGTTAATGATTATGCTTGATGTACATTTTCTTTAAACATCTAGAGAAATAGCTATATATGATTGTTGTAGTAATGTCTAAGCTGTTTGTAAAAGGTCAGAGGGAACATGTTTGTTATCCAGTCACACTGTCAGTTGATATGGAGATTGAACAGAGAAGAATAATATTATTAATTAAAAAAATGATAATAAACAACAGAAGAAGAAGAAAACGAAGAAGAAGAAGAAGAAGAAGAAGAAGAAGAAGAAGAAGAAGAAGAAGAAGAAGAAGAAGAAGAAGAAGAAGAAGAAGAAGAAGAAGAAGAAGAAGAAGAAGAAGAAGAAAAGAAAAAGAAGAAGAAGAAAAGAAGAAGAAGAAGAAGAAGAAGAAGAAGAAGAAGAAGAAGAAGAAGAAGAAGAAGAAGAAGAAGAAGAAGAAGAAGAAGAAGAAGAAGAAGAAGAAGAAGAAGAAGAAGAAGAAGAAAAAGAAGAAGAAGAAGAAAAAGAAGAAGAAGAAGAAAAAGAAAGAAGAAGAAGAAGAAGAAGAAGAAGAAGAAGAAGAAGAAGAACAAGAAGAAGAAGAAGAAGAACAAGAACAAGAACAAGAAGAACAAGAAGAAGAAGAAGAAGAAGAAGAAGAAGAAGAAGAAGAAGAAGAAGAAGCTTGGCTGCTACATCACTGCGGTCCGACTTCCTTTCAGTGATGTAACATGGAGAACGAGTGCAGTCATTATTACAATATTCACAGCCACCAGGCTACCACGTCACCAAGCACCTAATAAATAACGGTAACAATTTTGTTCTTCAGTCTCCTGAGCACATAAGGTCCATCGTTGCTTATACTAAGTTATGAGTTAGATTATCTTCTTATTACTCCAGATATATCCAGAGGCGCTCAGATTTCCCTCTCAACATATTCAACTGCGTCGCGTGGTTAGTATTGCCAGTGCTGATACTACTCACCTCCATTCACAACTGCGGTTGGCCTTTTCTTTATAATTTTGACGCTGAGTTGTTTGTAAGTCTGCCTGTATATATTTCTCCACACTCTTCTTTGTCTACATCTTAGTTTGCTCTATTATGTCCTTCCTTCGTGGGATGCAACTTTTCGTTATTTGAAGCCCTACTCTGGCTCTTGCCTGGGGCAGCAATATAGCCCAGCCATAAATATGGTCTAATGGCTGAACGTGATTTCTTTGACCTCTCCACGGGTGATCCTCATCCACATGGTGACACTTTGTGTCATTGGGGTTTATCGCTTGTGTGATGTCCTGGTGGGGTAAAGGAAGATAGATCAATAGTATGCTCTCACACAGCTCAGTGTACGCAGCTTTTTCTTCCTCTGCTTTTCGATAAGCTTCAACCATTATAGTCTTTGAGCCCTTTATGATACCAATAATTAGTGGTGATAGAAACAGATTATGAATTTTGCTGGTACTTCTCCGTCATTATTCTCTGCCGCCTATTTGATGGAACAAAGAATCCGTTTCATGACTGTTGAAAATAGTTTTCAATAAGGCTTGGTTTCGCCTTCTGATTTTGACGGGACTAGTAAAAGGACAGAAGAATAAAAAGGGGCAATGGAAGGAGAAAAAGAACAGGAGAAAATGAAGAAAATTTTACTATGCTGTTACAACAAGTAATATCCAACAACAACAATTATTTTACAATCGTCGATGTCTACATTATTCGCAATCATAGACACTAAATTGTAATCGTCTATTTTCCTGTGTAAGATATGTGGGGAAATGCAGCCAGTATTTGGTCACTGTCAGTTTTGTTTTATAGTTCCCCATAGCATCAAACAACAGATATTTATTTATTGGATATTTAAACAGTTAATATTGCTGCGATTGTTGTTTAACTTTTAAGAGAGAAATTGTGTGCCGGTGGACTGTTGCTATTTGCATTATACCCGTGACTTGTTGACTGTGGCAATCTAATCAATAATCTGCGAATAAAATGAAACTGGATTGAGTTGTCTGTGTGTCAAGCCGAGTAATGTTGCTTATCACCAAGTAGGAGAGCACATTTTAAACGGTTCTGACTACAACTTAAAGTGCCAAAGATGATAAAAAAGAAGAAAATAAAAATAAAATAAAGAAAGCAGAAGAGGAAGACGAAGAAAAGAGGAGAAGACGGAGAAGAAGAAGTGAGGCTGAATTATTCACTATGTAAACTGTGTGCAGGAACTACATTCTAAAGCAGGAAAACCTATGACTCTTCATTAATGAATAGCATCATTATAAATGTTCCACGGTATGTTATTTCTTTTTATTATAGACAATATAAGCTATGATTAGAAGGCACGAACGAGAGAAAAAAAAATTAGACCTGATTAACAAAACAAAACAAAAAACGAACATGGCAGCATTAATCATAATTTCTGAAGCTAGTGACAGGAAAAGCCACTGTGAAACGAAACATGAACAAACAAAAAAAACCAGGCAAAGAAAAGACTACGATGGGAAAAAAAATCTGTTTATGTCAAAAACAAAATTTGTCAAAATGTGATGAACACTGATCCCTGTGGAGATGTAAAAGTCAATCAATGAATGGTTATTTGAAGGTGGTGGGTGGTTTGATCCTCCAAACAAGATTATACATCAGTAAAAGGGATGTTCAGTTTAACTTGTATATAGTTAGAACTATTATTACTTCTTTTTCTGAGGGAAGATGGGGGTAGGGATAGATGGAAGCTTGTTTCTGCTTCACTGATATTCAAACTTTCGTAAATCGATCAGTCCGGGTTTGGTGCAATAACCATTTCTTAGCAAACATAATTGGCGCAAAGAAAGCAGACGACAATTATAACTGACACTGTTCGCAGAAGGTTGAACGTAATCGATGTTTTCATAAATGGATTGATGAATTTAGTCCGCAACGTAGATGTTTATAACCACATGAAACCTTCAATAGATTCCTTTTTTGTGTGTGTGTGTGTCTGTCCTGTTCTGCGCATTTCCTTCCATAAGGTGGATGAAACCAAATCAGTGTGTGGTTTCTCTTTGACGGCCTCGCTCACTTAATCTATGTGTTTCCTTTTTCTCAGACTTGTACCGGTGATTCTCATCCGAATGGTGCCACTTTGTGTCACCTGGTGTTTATTGCTCCTTGTGCGGTCATTGAGGGGTTAAACGTCACTCACTCAATCATTGACCATCTGAGATTGTGTCCGATATCAAGATCGTCTGTCTCCGATAACTATGATTACTAGTGATTGTCTATTCTATTTTTTTTTTCGGGGGAGAAAATTTTTCAAACTAAAATTTAATACATCCAATTTGGTATTCAAGCATCTGCAGTTTACACATTAAAATAAGCAATTTAAACCCTGAAGTTACCAACACATGTGACTTTACCTATGTAAGTCTTGAAAGTTAGATACCTATCTTTTATAAGACGACGAAGAACAAACGGCTGTCGATATTACTGTTGAAGCGGACGTAATTCGGTCTGATACCAGATCGACCGCAGCTGGGATCGAACCTAGCACCTCAGAATTACATTGGGTTAGCGCCTAGGCCACAGCCGCTGACCTACGTTCATTAAGATAAATTTAAGAAAAACAAAGGCAACAAAAACATGGCCGAAAACTCCTTTGCAAAAAAAAAAAAAAAAAATTTTCGACAGAAGAATAAATGTGAAACAGTTTCTCTCTTTTCTTCTATATCCGGAGCCCTCGCCCCCACCCCTCCCCCTCCCACTTGCTAAATGAAGGCTTGAGATTATGACATCTAAGTCTGGATGAAAGGCCTTCAGGGCAAGTCTGAAGTATCCCGTTCAACTTTAGGAGAAATTAGTAATGGAGTACCTGTGACGTCTACACAAGCTTGGTGTAACCTGAAATCTTGCACCCGTGACCGACTTCAAGAAATTATCTATCTATCTATCTATCTATCTATCTATCTATCTATCTATCTATCTATCTATCTATCTATCTATCTATCTATCTATCTATCTATCTATCTATCTATCTATCTATCTATCTATCTATCTATCTATCTATCTATCTATCTATCTATCTATCTATCTATCTATCTATCTAATCTATCTATCTATCTATCTTTCTATCTATCTATCTATCTATCTATCTATCTATCTATCTATCTATCTATCTATCTATCTATCTATCTATCTATCTATCTATCTATCTATCTATCTATCTATCTATCTATCTATCTATCTATCTATCTATCTATCTATCTATCTATCTATCTATCCATCTATCTGTCCATCTATCTATCTATCTGTCTATCTATCTATCTATCTATCTATCTATCTATCTATCTATCTATCTATCTATCTATCTATCTATCTATCTATCTATCTATCTATCTATCTATCTATCTATCTATCTATCTATCTATCTATCTATCTATCTATCTATCTATCTATCTATCTATCTATCTATCTATCTATCTATCTATCTATCTATCTATCTATCTATCTATCTATCTATCTATCTATCCATCCATCCATCTATCTATCTATCTATCTATCTATCTATCTATCTATCTATCTATCTATCTATCTATCTATCTATCTATCTATCTATCTATCTATCTATCTATCTATCTATCTATCTATCTATCTATCTATCTATCTATCTATCTATCTATCTATCTATCTATCTATCTATCTATCTATCTATCTATCTATCTATCTATCTATCTATCTATCTATCTATCTATCTATCTATCTATCTATCTATCGATGGAAATCTTACCTTCAACTCCCATGTGAAAACACTTGTTAAGCAAACTGCTACAAAGGTATACCAACTAGCAAAAATTAAAAACTTTCTGGATGAAAACTCTAGGAAATTATTCTATACTTCTCATATTCAGACCCACATAGACTATTGCTCCACAATATGGGATGGATGTGCAAATTCAGTCATCAAACGGCTGAAAGCACTGCACAGAAGGGCTGTTCGTTTAATAGCTAATAGTCATGAAAGTGACTGTTCGCACCTATATAAAGAACTCATGCTATTACCGCTCCGGGAACACCTACTATTCAATAAAGCTAAACTTATTAAGAAAATAATATCTAAAAATGTTCCATGTTACCTTTGGCCATTATTTAAATACAATGGAAGACATAGCAAACGCCTTAACATATTGCATATCTCTAAACCTAGAATAGACCTATATAAAACAAGCTTAGCGTACTCTGCAGCTCAGCTGTGGAATAATCTTCCACCGGAAATAAAAAATATCAATAACCCCTTTAGATACAATCGGAAACTATTTGATTATTATTTCACTACAGACTATATGCCCCCCTAAAAAATATTATAGTACGTTAAGGCTTTGATGTATTTCTTATTAACGGTTTGGGGGGGGGGGCGGGGAGGGGGGGGGGTTGGGGAACTTGGTGGTGGTTGAAAACTGAAGCTTATTATTGTTAAAACTGAAGATGTGAAGGTTGAAAACTGAAGCTTATTGTTAAAACTGAAGATGTCAGTCGAATGCATTCCAATATTTGTAACTAATATTTAAATTGGTTTTGATGATGTTTAATTTATGCAACCTGTAAGACTTATATTTTTTGAATAGGCTTATTATTATACTCTTTCAAACGTTCAAGTAATGTCAGTATAAATTAGAGCACATTCCAGCATTTGTAATTAAGACTTAGATATTTTTTTTTTTTTCCTTCTTTTTTTTTTTGTTCTTTTGTTTCTTTTCTATATTTCTCAAATTTTGAATTGTGCATTCCTCTTTTTATTAATTATTATTATTATCAATTATTATTATTACTATTAACTATGAAATGAGGTAAAAATGAAACATTGTATGAAAGGAGCAGAGTGGAAGGGCAGAACGTTAGACGGGCCTGCGTGCCCAATTCCTAACCCTTTGAAAATAAAGTTTGTTCGTTCGTTCGTTCGTTCGTTCTATCTATCTATCTATCTATCTATCTATCTATCTATCTATCTATCTATCTATCTATCTATCTATCTATCTATCTATCTATCTATCTATCTATCTATCTATCTATCTATCTATCTATCTATCTATCTATCTATCTATCTATCTGTCTGTCTGTCTGTCTGTCTGTCTGTCTGTCTGTCTGTCTGTCTGTCTGTCTGTCTGTCTGTCTGTCTGTCTGTCTGTCTGTCTGTCTGTCTGTCTGTCTGTCTGTCTGTCTGTCTGTCTGTCTGTCTGTCTGTCTGTCTGTCTGTCTGTCTTTCTGACTGCCTGTCTGTCTGTCTGTCTGTCATTTCTGTCTGTCTGTCTGTCTGTCTGTCTGTCTGTCTGTCTTTCTGACTGCCTGTCTGTCTGTCTGTCTGTCATTTCTGTCTGTCTGTCTGTCTGTCTGTCTGTCTGTCTGTCTGTCTGTCTGTCTGTCTGTCTGTCTGTCTGTCTGTCTGTCTGTCTGTCTGTCTGTCTGTCTGTCTGTCTGTCTGTCTGTCTGTCTGTCTGTCTGTCTGTCTGTCTGTCTGTCTGTCTGTCTGTCTGTCTGTCTGTCTGTCTGTCTGTCTGTCTGTCTGTTTGTCTGTCTGTCTGTCTGTCTGTGCAGGATTACAGTTTTTAGGATTAACATATCAAGAATAGGAAACAAAGAAAAACTATTCCCGGAAGACCCGTTCGACTGTATTTCACAGTTATATTGGAGGAATTACACAACTTGTATAGGAACTTTCAGTGTGGATAGGCCCCGTGTGGGTTCTAGAGCCCCAGTGTGTGGGAAAAACCAGAATTAAACCCAGTGACTAAATAAAAAGCAAGTGGTAGAAATCGACTAATTGGGCGTTTCAATTCGAAGGCGGAGTGCATCTGCCTGAGAGGCAAGGAACCAACAGTCTGCATATACACGAGCCATCTCTTCAAAACCGACGTGCAAGCAAAACGCAAGATCTAGAACCAGACAAAAGTCCGGAAGTGGACAAACAACCAGAACTTTTCGTTGGAGTTTAAGAAGAAAAGGAATGTGGTCAGTTATGAGTAACTTCAGGGGGAAAAGGGGGGGGGGGATAATTTGACTGTGTCCCCACATTCGTTGATTCCAGTTTAACTGGGCAGTAAAAAAGGGCTGGGGGGGGGGGGAGGGGGGAAGGAGAGATAATGTGATGGTTTAATCTTATCCTGCTTGTTACAGTGAGTAGTTTGCAGGTCATTCTTTGACATCAGTGAGACTATGGAAGTGCGCTTCTCAAGCGAACTGTTCTAAATAGACAGAAAATGTGCCTTCTCTAAACTCGCTTTGTTTTATGCTTATGCATTACCTGTTTTATTTTACCACTAGAAGCTATCGTTGGAATTCCCCCCCCCCCCCACCCCCTTTTTCACCCCCCCCCCCCCCCAATCAAGACAATAAATATAGTCTAATTGCTGAACGCGGTTTCTGAGACTTCTCCAAGGGTGATCCTCATCCACCTGATGGCACTTTGTGTCATCGGGTGTTTATCGCTTGTGTGATGTCCTGGTGATGTAAAAGAAGATAGAGAGAGAGAGATAGCATTCACCATATTCACCAGTACTTAGGTGTGAATGGGGTGGGGACCATACACATGTTAGACACGTTAGCACTCACTAACTCTTTCCGTGCCGAAATTATTATTGCCGTCCTCTGCCGTATAAAGATGGTATTTATAGTCCGTTTTGAAATTCACGAGCGAGATTAGATTTTAATATTAGACCGTCTGTAGTGAAATTGTGTATGCTCACTCTAGATATCCATGACGTTTTTTTTTTTTTTTTTTTGCACTAAAAAGAATACCAAATATAGTGTCTATGTGTGTGTATGTGTGTGTGTATGAGTTTCTTCTTTACGATATTCTATGTCATTATCAAACTATGTTGGCAGAGTTTAGAAAGGTCTCCTTTTATTGGTTTCAGGAAGTAATGTTAATGAGCACACTATAAGGAGCTCAAATTGAACTTGAAATAAACATCTTTATTGAAAAATCAAAAATTTCGCTTATACTTATTTGCAGTGGTTCAAAGAGATCACATGAATTGGCTATTTAGCAATATCGTGAGCAACTATAAAGTGAATGGATAGCACTATTCGAGTCATGGATATTAAAAGACTGCATGCCAATAAATAAGTGTGATCTAACTGGCAGTTTCCGAGAAAATAGATTGCAAACGTGTTAGCGAATTGCTGAACAGACTAAAACACCCTGTTTATGATTTTTTCGTTTAACTTGTTTTGTCCCACTATGTCTCCTTTAAACGAATCAGACTGGACTATTCCGTACTTTAGGTTGAAATACTTAGGATATAAGGGAGCTAAAATAACAACAGCTCGATACTGAAAAAGTGTGTGTAACAATCGCCTGTGATTTAGTCATTTATTAAAATGGGTTTTCCGGGTGTAAAGCTGCACACATGAGAAACTAGAGATTCTTGGTAAATAATACAAGCGTGCCATGTGTCTTTTTTCCCCCTTGATTTCCCGTGTCAACTAATTCCCCGTGCATGTTGAAATCTCTCGCTACTGCACACCTCTTGGCTTTATCAGTATTACGTGCCAGGTTGTCATACAACCAGTGTGCCTGCTTGCTCATTTGACAAACTACAGACCCACATCTACCAGTCGTTTGGCGGCAAAGGTGCAGCAAGTCCTGGCACGATTTATTACAATAGTTCCAAGGATCGTTGTTCAAACAGAAAACGACGTCGGTCCGCGTAAGGGCTTCCAGTGGGAACATTCAATGCAATAGCAAACACCGTCCACTGAGCTTTTACTGTGACATATTTAGATTTGTGAAATATAACTGATATCTTAAACTAATACAAGCGTGCAGAGTTCGGATTACGTGCTTATGACTTGGCGTTTATATCCATTCCTTAAAACTAAACCAACGATGCATACAAGTTTTAATAATTTGTACTTATGGTCATAGTTAATATTCGATTTTACGGTGTGCTCTTCATACCTATAGATGGACTGTCTCCCTCAGCAAATATTTTAAGGTGTAGACATTGACTGTTAGGTTCAAGAACAACGTAATGAAACTAATAGATGCTAAATATGATATCATTCGGTCTCGAGTCGACACGTGTTGTCATTCGCAGCTGCGAAGGAGGACACGTTATCAATGTCCAAAGAAAGGTATAGTGCCCGAGACACTCAGTCTCAAAGCTCAGCTTCATCGAGTGAACGACGATAGTTCTCATACGTCGGACTCTCTGTTTCAGTGCGCCCAGAATGGAAACGTCAAGGAAGTTGTTCGCATCCTCAAATCTGACCCCACACGTCTTCATGCCAGGAATGTTCAAGGCCAGATGCCCTTGCATGTTGCAGTATCGAAAGGGCACCGTGATGTTGTTGAAGCCATCATTAATCAGAAAGCAGGTAGGTTTTTAATGTGCTCAGTTGTTTCTTGATTTGTGGTATAGCATCTAATAATCTGGTAATCTTCGTTTAAGCTTCATAGCAAACAGGCTACCCTAAAGTTGCGCCGGTCCTGTGCCAACCAAAAACACACAGAATGTTTATCACAGTCCCTTGTGGAAAGATTGGCAGACTGCTGTCTCAGCATATCTAGCATACACACGCATTAAAAGCAGACGGTAGCCATCCGAAGTGCTAACACCAATAGTCCGACATTAGAAATGCAGTTCATCATGGATGGTAGCAGAAGTCACCAACAGATCAGCAGTTGCACACGTGATAAATTTTGATGACATAATGGCACCACCAATATTGCGACATCAAGCACTGCACCTTTTCTGAATCTACAATTCGCACCACCACGTTGGCCACAGTCGAAAAACATTCCAGATGAAATTCGCTGCTCACAGTGTCACGCTATGCACTCAATTCAGAAGCTGGGCGACGAAACAAAATCCTTCAGTCTACAAATGGAGCAACAATGCAACTGCAACCATCTGGCAAAGGCAAAAATTTTGCCAGGGCTTAAAACTGGCAGTGCCTAGCGTCCATTTTGACTGGAAGTCAATATTGTGCTATGAGGAGACATGGGACTCATATATATATATATATATATATATATATATATATATATATATATATATATATATATATATATATATATATATATATATATATATTTATATATATATTATATATTTTTTTGAAACCATAAATACCTTTTGCATGATTTATTTGATATGTGTATAACTTCCATCATCATCAGTTCTTTCATTTACAGAGAACTGATTGATTGATTGATTGATTGAATAATTGTTTGATTCAAGAACCTACATTGCAGCACTCAGGGCATTCCCATAAGCGCTCCGTCCCCATCTTCAGCAGCCAGCGAAGAGTTCCAAAACTAATGGTGGCAGTAGCATTCTTATTAAACGTCTGTCTTGCCTTTTCTCTCATCCTCGAGCATCTACCAGGACCTCTCGTCACTCCCCGTACATCAATCTCACCAAACTGTGGTGATCAATCTGCTCCTCCAAACTATTCACGCTCTTCCACAAGGCACTAGCCACATCTGCCTTTTCATGCATTAGTATTCCACCAAGCTGTGCAGAGCAAGCCAGTCTGTCCGTGTGTTCATTTTCCAACACACCAGAATACCCTGGTGAGAAAATCCAGACTATACACCTCACCTGTGTCCTTCGCAGCGAGGCATGCCACTCTTCACGAAGCATGCCTGTCCTGATCTTCTTCAGCATGCTTTCAGTTTACAGAGAATGAGAAATGTGTTGCCCGGCTCTCTAGCGTAGTTGGCTAAATCGGATTGCGCGGAGACCGGGTGACGAACTCCTTGTGGTCCGGGTTCAATCCCAGGGGTAGGCAGGAAAGCCACATTTCTCCCAGATTCACGGTATTTACAATGGAATCAAGGCCGAAAGGTTGCGATATCCATAATACCGAGCCTAAGGGTTAACAACTCATGGCTTCTGGATACTAAAACAAACAACATCAAACGAGAAATGTGTTAATTCTTCTATCTCAGTTTACTGCTACATTCTCTGTAAGCTTCTTTATTTCATCGCTAAGTTTTGTTCGTTTAATCTTATTATCCAGATCATTCTCCGGTAACAGTCCACAAGATGATAAACAGACATATTTAATCGTCAGTTTAGTCTGCTGTTGTAGTTTGGTCTGCTGTTTTAGTTTAGTCTGCTGTTGTTTAATCTACTGTTATAGATTTGTCTGCTGTTTGTAATTTTTACACTGTTAACAAATTAATGTACTATTTTTTTTTTGGGACAGACCTGAACGCAGTGGACAGCCAGGGCAACACAGCGCTTCACCTTGCTGTCATGGCCGAGTCACCAGACATGGTGAGACTGCTTTTGAAGAAAGGTGCCAGCTTCACCATCAAGAACCAGGCGCAGATGATGCCAGTCCACTTAGCAGCCGAGTTGCCAACAACTGAAATCATGAAGGTTGGTTCACAATTAGTTATGAGCGATCAGTTCAGCAAAAGTGCCAAGATGTGCAACATTTCTTTTAGCAGTAAACGATGTTTCCAGATATTAGTAAAGAATTATAGTTTTAAAAGAAAACATGTTGTGATGCTTTTAGACTTTCAATATATATGATGCTGAACTCATTTTTTAAAACTGAGAATTCTGTATTGGCAACTGATCAGCACATGGGGTGTCTTCACAACTCAGAGAGACAGCAGTAGTACATCGAGCACATGTTACTAAAATAATGTTTATATAAAAAAAAAAAATTATGGCATTAGTAAATTGAGCACAAGTTACTTAACTTATTTTAATGTTAAAAAAAACATAACGGCAGTAGGACATTCAGCAAATGCTATTAAAATCATAATAATATATAGCAACATAACTGCAGTAGTGCTTTAAGGATATGCTTCTAAACTCGTATTATTATATAGAAACATAACTGCAGTAGTACATTGAGCATATGCTATTTAACATATTATTATATAGAAACATAACTGCAGTAGTACATTGAGCATATGCTATTAAACATATTATTATATAGAAACATAACTGCAGTAGTACATTGAGCATATGCTATTTAACATATTATTATATAGAAACATAACTGCAGTAGTACATTAAGCATATGCTATTAAACATATTATTATATAGAAACATAACTGCAGTAGTACATTGAGCATATGGTACTAAACTCATATTAATATAGAGAAACATCACTGCAGTAGTACATTGAGCACAAGTTACTAAACTCAGTTTAATGTTGAAAAACATAACGGCATTAGTACATTAGGCACATGATATAAAACCCATAATAATATAGAAAACATAGCGGCAGTAGATCATCGAGCAGATGTTACTAAACTCATTTTTATATAGAACAACATCACAATTGTAGTACATTGAGCACATGTTACTAAATTTATTTTTTTATAGAACATTTAAAGAAAGGTCCAGCAACAAAAGGAGACATGAATGCAAGCGGAGTTACTCTAATCCTGTGCCTGGAAACGTGAACAGGTCCCACACACAAAAATTACAACTGTTTGGATTGTTTGTATATTACATTTCAGTAAACAACGTATTGTTGTGGACAAAGTCCATGAAGAGACACGCGTGTGTTCACAAACCAAGTGTATGAAGTGACTCATGTGTGTATTCATGAAGTCTATGAAGTGAATTATGTATGTGCTCATGAACAGTCTATGAAGGGACTCATGTATGTGTTAACAAATACAATCTATGAAGTGACACATGTGTATGTTTGTAAACACAGACTATGAGGTGACTCATGTACTTGTTCATGAACAGTCTGAGAAGTGACTCATGTGTGTATTCATGAACAGTCTTTTAAGTGACTCATGTATGCGTTCTTGAACAGTCTATGAAGTGACGCATGTATGTGTTCATAAAGAAAGTCTATGAAGTGACTGAAGTGTATGTTTGTGAACACAGACTATGAGGTGACTCATTTATTTGTTCATTGACAGTCTATGAAGTGACGTATGAATGTATTCACAAAACAAAGTCTATGAAGTGACTCATCTGTATTTTCGTGAACACAGACTATGAAGTGACTTATGTATGTGTTCACGAACAGCTTATGAATTGACTCATGTATGTTTTTCCGTCATAAGTGAAATACGCCACTGTAATAAAAATTGATATTTTATAGTTAATTGATAGAACATTTATATCCTTGCTGAGCTGTCCGTCTTGTCCTATTGACCTTATATGGGTGGGTCCTTTTACAGCTGCTATATAGTTTTGCAGTTATTCAAGTCTATTCACATGTCTAGAATAGTAGCACTGTTTACATAGATACATTTTGACGGTTTGTCTACAGATACTTCTAGAACATGGAGCAGATCCCAATGCTCGAGGGGAAGGTGGTGTGACCGCCCTGCATTTAGCCGCTGGACAGGATAATGGTGATATGATGCGATTAATTGTAAGTTGCTTCGACATCATCATCACCCTCTTTCTCCTCGCCATCATCACCACCATGATGATGTTCACCGTCATCATCACTATAATACACATCATCATCATCATCACCATCATAAGAAACATCATGTTATGCCATTTATACGTTGCATACAGCTTATTGTCGATACATCCATCCTGGTCTATCCTGAGCAATCGCTTCGATGTTGTTGGCGAATACAGCCCAGCACTGATGGGATCCCGTCAGCCTTCGTTGTTTCAGCGGTAGAAATTCTGCCTTCCTCAAAACATTTCTGTCCTATTTCTTCTTCTGCGATCATTCGAGATGAGAATGTGTTGTGCCCGTTTACAGCGATATTTGCGCCTTTCGACCGACGCTTCCGACCTCTGCAGGTATTTGTTGACCGGGTTAGCCTTCGCTTTCTTTCCTTTGTCAGTTACTTTTTGAGGGAATTTACTGTTTGCTTCGTCTGAGACTATGTCTAACTCAAAGACAAAATATACAAGTTTGCAGGACATCAGAAGCCTCTTTTAGCAGTGGCGAAAGGTCGCAAGCTAGATTGGTTTTTGCACGTGGTGAGACATGATTCGATTGCAAAGACTGCACTTCAAGGAACACTGGGGGACAGTCTAAGAAGAGCAGCGCAAAGAAGAACTTGGAATGACAATATCAAGAAATGGACAGAACTTTTTTATCAATTCATCAAGCTGAAGGCAGAGAAATAGGGCGGGTTTTATGTGATAGTGCTTTCATCAATACACCACAACGACCCTAACGGATCAAGGGTTATGTTGTTATGCCATAATTATCGTCGAGTTTCTTTTCTTCTACATTCGATATCAGCTACTTGCCTAGGCATTGCTCTGATTTGTTTCGCTTTTATTAAATTCGTAGAATACAATATTGATTAAGTGCATCAGCGCAGTTGGTTTTCTTCTAATGCATTTAATTTTCGGCCGATGTTTTTACTAGTTCTCCTACTTTAAATAGTAAATAGGAGAAGCGAAAGCTGGAGTATAGACATGCAGTTTATTTTTTGAACTGTACACGTGTATATGTGTAGGTATGTGTGTATATGTGAGTGCGTGTGTGGTACAAGCTGCGTACGACACATATACATACATTAAAAAAATAGACAAATGCACTGATAGAGAGTCAGACAGACATACAAACAGAGCCCGACAGAGAGACTAACAGACAGACATAAGGAGTGACAGACAGACAGACATAATGCAAGTTACAAGTAATAGAAACAAGATTAAATAAACAGCTGGTGTGATAGTCCATCATTTTGGGCAAGAAAAATGTCTCAGCTGCAGTAAAGCAACAAACCGCCTTTACTATCCTAGACATGTCTGGGTATTTAGTTTAGTTAGTTTGAACCTGGGAGTCAAATGCGTCTAAACATATTCTTTCTATGCCAGTGGCCTACCAGTGGTATGGTGCTCGACGTTTGTTTTTGTAGACCAGTTAACTGTTTTACTTTCAGCAATACTACTGATTACTCATTTTAGGCCGAAGTCAATTTTTTTTTTTTAATTTGCCAGAATGTGGATTCCACCCCAAGACGTACTGGCAGATCTCCGTCTAGCCACTGCCGTACCCACTGCTTGTTTAATACGCTGTCGACCGAAATAAATCTAACCCTAGCACTTTACAATTAAGAAAATGTTAAACGCATTCACTATCTTCTGAGCCAGAGATTGGCACTTTTTAACAAAGACCATGACTTTTTTTGCTCCCAGATGTCCACTGGAGGGAAGCCATGCATGAAGTGCGACTACGGTTATTATCCAATACACGTGGCTGCCAAGAGTGCTTCAGCAAATGCCATGTCGGCAATCATTGAGCAAGGTCAGTTTTCTTGTTGCTTTCTGTTGAAGTCATCACTGTGTGGTCAGGTGTTCACAATTGCACGTTTTAGAGATATGTTTGAGTTCCATCTCTCTGCACCCCACAGTGGGGCGTCGGAATCCATACCTGGATTCTTTAAAATATTCAGTACAAGTCATTTAAATGTTGAATGTTGAATAAGGAATCTTCATCATAATACGTGTGACTCTTTTATAACCGCGCTGTCTCCATCTTCAGTAGCGAATGAAGAGTTCCAGTTTCTATGGTACCAGTTACTGTCTGATCGTACATCCGTCTCTCGATTCTTTGATTGTTGAGCGCCAGCCAGATCCCCTGGTAAGTGCTAGCAGTGTCATTCTCAGCAGACCGTATTAATCTATGTGTGCCTCCGCACTGTTGACTCAGGCGTGATTCTGACCATATCACCCATCTTGTGCCGATTGATCTATACAAATATAGGTCTAGCCCTATATGCCAAATACGAATAAAGGCGTGGAAAAGGATCCTTTACTTATTTACTTACTGTTCACTCACTCGCAAAGGGCCCTCACAACACCTAGCCTACCAAACATCAATCCACCACAAAGTGGGGCAGAACCGACCAGCAGCTCGCTTCATAACACGCCAGCATGACCTGGAGCAAACATTTTCACAGGACGCTGACTACCCGGAACTCTGATGCCATGCTTGCCACTCTGCACGGAGCTTGCCTGTCTCTACGTTTCGCAACAACCAATCAGTTAACAGTCATATTATGCAAGGTAGTCCTGAAAATATTGTCGATGACACCTCCAAGTTATGATAAACATGATGTGGTCACCTTTGTGTAGACCATCTTTAATTGTTTCAGAACGCTTCTTCATCATCAACATAACCAATTCTGCCGTTAAACGATCCATATTTTCCTCGCCGTCCTCTTGCTCTTGTAGCTGATCTTCTGAGATGTAGTGCTTGTGATGGTATTTGATCTTGTTGCATTTTAACGAGATGACCAAACCACTTAATCCTCTTTTTCTCGATAAATCTAGTACAAGGTGTCGTTCCCACAATTTGCTTGATAGTTTCATTATTCACTCGATCTCGAATAGTTAGGTTGGCTGCTTTTCTCAGGCACCTCATCTGCAGGTGATTTTTTTTTTTTTTTTACGCTGCTTAGAAGCCAGAAATAATTGTAACTTCAAACATTCCTTTTTGAAGTATGGTTACACAAATAATCAGTTGGTATACTTGACTAAACCATGCCCACTCAATCCGAAACCGGTATATGTTATAGACATTTTGTGTCCCTCCCTATGTTCACATGTGTGATAACTCTTCTCTATTTAGAAACGTGTTTAGCGGTTTCATGGTACGTGGAAATGAATAGACAAACTGCCCCCTAACAAGCATGTCGCAGAAGTCGACGACATATGGCTGTTTCCTTTGAACTCGAAGCTTGTCTGCCAGAGAGGCAAGGGACCAACACTCTGCATTATTGGTAGAACATTTTATCCCAATAGGACATCACACAAGCGAAGAACCCCCGATGAGACAAAGTGCCACCATATGGATGAGGATCACCCGTGGAGAGGTCCCGGAAACCGCGTTCACCCATAAGGCCTTATTTATGGCCGAGCTATATTGCGGCCCCTGGCAAGAGCGAGAGTGGGGCCTCAAAATAACGAAAAATTGCATCCCACACGGCGATGACTATTAATAATAAACAGTCTGCACACAAACCTAGCCATATCTATGAGACGAAAGTGCACACATATCATGTTATGGAAAAAGAACAGTCCAAAGTAGTTGAACAACTGTAACTTTCTAGCGTAGTTTACTGCCGGTGAACGTAAAGAAGAAGAAGAAGACACTTCCATCGAGAAAGGTCATTTTGAAAACTGAATTTTCGATGTTTTTTTCTTTTTTTTCTTTTTACTAAATGCCTTAGCCCTCAAGTGTGGGTATACACGGGAACAGATCTTGAATTTCAAAGACAGAGAAAATAATCTCCCCTTACATTCCGCTGTCTATGGTGGAAATATCAAGGTAATTACCGCAGCTTTTCATGTGTGCATTGTCACTTTTTGCAGGTTATGTTGATAGAACGTATTCTTTCTAAGCAGCATACAGTGAAAAGCGACAAATTATCAAGTCTATATGCTTATTACAGCATGATTTAAGAATAATCATCATTATCGAGTGCCTTGCCAACTGGTGTAACTATCATCGGTCTCAACAACGCGATCCCTGACAGAAGAAGAGGAAGAAGAAGACGACGACGAAATTGGCATAAGCTGAAGATAACATCAAGACGACGGCCTCAGTCAAGCAAATACACAGGGGCAGGAATGGGTCGACACGAACACCCACAACAACAGTTTCCATCAGGTCATTATCACTTTAGGAAGAGAATATAGAGAGTGGTGTAACAGTATGGCATAATTAGAGGTACAACAACTGATAGATGAAAAGGCTGAACTATATGACGCAGTAGTGTACACCGATGTTTCTGTTCATCAGGGTGTAAGATCTGGCTGGGGGGTTCTCAGCTAGAATTAAGGAAAAAATTGTTGCAGAACAAAAGGGGACTTTTGTATTTACAACTTCAAGCATGAGAATGGAAGTGAAGGCAATCACTGCAGCTCTAAAGTGGATAGCAGAAAACAAAGTTACCAGAGGAAATATTGTGATTCTCTGTCGGCATTGGGGAAGGTTCAAAATGGACTAATGTGGCATGAGTGGATACTATGTATCAGTACACCAACATTGTAGGGAATCACGTTGATATAATGTCCGGAAGATGCAGGAGTACGAGGGAATGAAAGAGATACAAAGGCCAAAGCTACGGGAACACTCGTATGGGACAAAGGAGATATTCGGAAGACCATATATGAACGACTTTTGGCAGAAGACTAGAGATTAGATCAAAGAACACGGGCAAGAATGTGTGTACGAAGAATTAAGTGTGGATCCGGCAGGGAGGAACGGATGAGAGGAAGAGATCGGCGTGTGTATAATCAGTGTGCAACGGGAACAGTTAGCATCTACACCTTACGTCATTTGCTGCAGGAGACGAAGCATCTATAGGTATGCCCGGTGTGCTGTGATATCGTTTTTTAAGTCAGTAATCAGTAAACATATCTGGAAGTTTTTTTTTTTTTTTTTATTAGCATTTTTTTTTTTTTGCACTCTGTATTTTAGTTATCTGCCCTCTTGTTGTCTAGAATGTATTTATTTGACAGTGATGCTGATATGTGTTGAGTGGGCGAGTGAGATTCAACCCCACCAGGACATCCACCAAGCGATAAACACCCGATAACACAAAGTGCCACCATGCTGATGAGGATAATCGGAGAGAGCTCCCAGAAACCCCGTTTAACCCATTAGTTTTTTAAGTATCCAGAAACCATGAGTTGTTAACCGTTTTGCTTGGTACTATGGATATCGCAACCCTTCAGCCTTGATTCAATGATATGTACAGAAAATCTGGGGAAAAAATGTGGTTTTTCTGCCATCGCCCAGGAATGAACCCTAAACACAAGGAGTTCGTCACCCGGTCGCCGCGCAGTCAGGTTTAACCAACTGCGCTAGCTAGCCCAGGCGTTCAACCCAAAAGTTGTGTTATATTAGAGCTCCCAGCAATAGCCACGGTGGGGTTGTGAAACAACAACAAAGTGCGTCTGACACTGGGACCAAGTGTGACATAATTATATGTGTCCCTGTTCCTGTTCCTTTTAAAACTTGACCACATCTAGCCTATTGCTAGCTAGCCGAAACTGCTAAAGGTTTCTGATTATATTTGTGGTCTTTGATATGTGTTGCATAATTTGAGCATTTATGATTTGTCAATTTTTGTAACTGAAGGCTTATTTTATTTGATTCCATCAAGGCTGTCAGTGTGTGCTTAAATGCCGGTGCGCTAGTCAACGCACAACAGGTGAGGTATAAACAACACATACACATTCAAGCAGTGCCATGTCTCTAAAAATAATCATAGCAATTAAAAACAATTTATTTCACAATGTATTGTCCATTTCGCTGTATGTGGTCAAGGATATAATTGACAAGCATAACTAAAAAAGAATCGGTAGGTAAGCGAGTCCGTTTAACTGACAAGAAGAAAATTAATTACATTCTCCATTCTGTGTTTTATTAGGGAAAGCACATGCAAAAACAGACAAAGGTGACTGCATATTTTACCAAAGAAAACACACGTTACAATCATGCCAATTTTAACACATGTAACTGCAAAGGTGCCGGAGCATAGAATTACCCTCCCCCACCTCCCCCACCCTCAATCCTCAAATATTTGTAAACGGGCCTCATATACATTCCTATTTTAATTGTATTTTCTTTGCAACGGTTGAGGTATATATTGTATAGTATTTCAAGTATTTTATCATAAATTGCCATTAGCAAATTATTAATAAAAATAATATGATCAATGAAACATACGAATAATAATATGTTTGTAACATAGGTACTAGTAGCCCCCCCCCCCCCCCCCCCCCCCCCAACCCAACCCCATTTTTCACTAGCTATCATACAATTAGGCTTTTGGAGACTTGCTGGTGACGATGTTCGAGTAATTGTTGGTTATGTAAACCACAAGATTTGACCTTTTTACACTGCCTAGAGTTTCTCTCTCTCATTCTCTCTCTGTCTGTCTCTCTCTTTCTCTCTCTATCTGTCTCTGTGTGTCTGTCTCTCTCTGTCTTTCTCTCCCTCTCTCTCTCTCTCTCTCTCTCTCTCTCTCTCTCTCTCTCTCTCTCTCTCTCTCTCTCTCTCTCTCAATTTTACTGACATCCTAAAGAGACTAGTTAAATCTTTTTTTTTTTCATTCAGTAGTATGTATTTCTGTCTGCCCGTCTTCTTTCTTCCGCGCTTTCTCACGTTTTCTCTCTCCCTCTCACTTTCTCTCCCACTCTCTGTCTCCTCTTTCTACTAGCCCTGCTTTAATTTCATTGTGTCCACCAACTACTCCTGTGGCTACTACCTTCAACCCTCCGCCCCCCCCCGACACCCCCCCCCCCCGACACCCCCCCCCCCCCCCCGGGAGATGCAGCACACACTTTGAGAAACATTGGTGTAGACTACAAACAGATTTTAAAAAAAATTAATTTCTCAACATAACGTACAGAAGTACAAAGTCCATCTGCCTGTTCATTGACTAATTTCTGATGCATACATATTTTTTTCAAGTTCACAGCAAGGAAATATATATACATATATATATATAAGAAAAACACTGAAATATTTATTGAAAGTTACAAGTTCATAGTAGCCAACTGCAGGCACAATCGAAATGGTTGTATTTATGAGATAAATAAATGCCCTTATCTTTATCCTTTTTACTGCTTTTGGCGTCGAACTCGTTCTGGGATTTCCTGGCTGCGGCAGCCATAGATATCGGTTTAGTTAACAGTTTATCTGATGTTGTCGTTCTATATCGTTCTTGATCTAGCTCGGGCTTCGTATGTTCTCTCCCCACAGCACCGCCTAACCAATAAGTGATATCTACACACATTTTCCCCCTCTGTTTTAATGTGAAGAAAAAAAAATACATTGTAGTGACATCTGTTCAAATGTAATATCAGAAAGGTGAATTAGCCCAAAACAATGCTAAATTAGCACAAGGAAGCAAAGAAAAAAGAGGTAAAAATATACGAGAACTCATTACCATTAACAAACCAGAGAAAAGGTCGAATAGAAAGGATAAGGCCAAAAAAACTATGCGTTTGAAAGTACTATGGTAATTCACAACAATTGAAGCCACTGCAAACATAACGTGCCCATGTGTGCTCAGTCCTCCAATGCAGCAGCCACTCTAATGTGCCTCTTTCAAATGTTCTCAAGAGGATGTGATTACAATTTCCCCTTTATTGATGTCTCTTATCTTGACCACCAATGCGCTTCACCAGGCTCCACTCTCACACTATGAAACCATATTAGCGAATATATCCATTATTAAACAACCTCCTGTCGAGCGTAGATAGTGTTAACAAAGTTAGCTCTGTGAAGGTTTCTTCCCGCATGCACTAAAGCAATACTTTTACTCGCACGAACAGGAAAAACTGTTGCTTAATGCATCAGGAAAAACATGTAGTGTTTGTGCACAACTGTTCCTCCCCCTTTAGCTATGATCACCACCATCACCATCATCATCGTAAGTCACTTCTGCCCTTAAACGTCTTTGGGGCAGGGGGCGTGTTTGCGAAATGTGTGTGTGTTTTTTTTTTTTTTGGGCGTAAAAAGGGGGGGGGGGGGGTGGTGGGGGTGAATAATCTACGATCCAGTTTGCCCTGGCTACCACTGGCTATTGTCATCCGTAAAGGCGTAGTGTCTCTAATGTTAATGATCCATTATTTCACGGCCGTCCTCTTGATCCTGTGGCTGATTTTCTAAGATGTCGTGCATGTGAAGGTATTTGAACTGGCTGCATTTTCAAGATATGGCTAAACCACTTGGTCTGCGGTTTCTCAATGAATCTAGTACAAGGTGTCGTTCCTACAATTTGTCCAATAGTGACATTATTAACTCTATCTTCGATGGTTAGGTTGGCGGCTTTTCTTAGGCATCTAATTTTGCAAGTGGTGATTTTGGGCTGTGGGATTTAGAAAGTGTCCATGTTTGGCACTGGCAGCCTAATAAGTTTAATATTAGCTTTAATATGTTCCCAATTGCAGTGTGTGTGTTGAATTAATTTACATTTTATTTCAACTTGCCCGGTGATGTATCTGAAACAGGAAGACGGATCCACACCTCTTCACTTCGCCTGTTCCCAAGGAAACATGGATATGATCAAGTTAATGAAGGAGGCACAGCCTGATCACTTCTTGGCAGCTGTGCAGTCTGTGGATTCTATGAAGATGACACCCCTTCACAGAGCTGCTCTCTTCAATCACAAACCGGTGATGGAATATCTGTTAAATGAGGTACTCTTCAGGGTGGTTTTTATGTAAACTTTTGTATTCTCTCCTCTCTCTCTCTCTCTCTCTCTCTCTCTCTCTCTCTCTCTCTCTTTCTCTCTCTCTCAGACACACACACATACACAGACATACACACACATAAAACGCACTTGTGATATTTAGTTTTTGCCAGTTTATAAAACATCAGCAGCTATACGGCAACAAAATATATGAGCAAACTATTTATTATTCATTTGCTATCACCATAATAATAAAAATATTAATAACCACCGCGCTAAAATTATGCCTCTTGATAATAACAGTCAATCAGTCCATTAGTTAATCAGGAAACCAGGTGCCTCTTTGCAACCAAGGTTGGCTGCAGTGGGTATTCAATGAATGTAACAATGTTTCAAGCCAGTGATTCCCAAACTGTTTTTAGTCGCGGCACCTTTTTTTTTTCAATTACAATATTTCCATGGCCCGTCTGACCTAGGTAAAAGTAGGACTATTCGTAAGTAAGAGATAACAAAACAAATAAAACTCGTGTATCTTTGAATTTTACACGGTGTCCCTGTGAAAAGATCGGGCTTTCCGCATGGCGCGGCGTATAGTGTGGGAATCATTGGTCTAAGCTTTAAACCCAAATATAATCCAATGTGAACATATTTTACACGAACTCGCGAGCAGCACCGGTATGGAGAGCGACTGAAAAAATGTTTAAGATGGTAAACACTTGAAGTAAATAAAACTGTTTAATCATATTATCATAATCACCACTGCGACCTTCGTCATCATCACCAACGCAATGTAGCAGTTCTATTGTAGAGGGTGGTATATTCCGTTGCTGACCGTCTTTTTCTTATTCTTTATCGCGTTCACCAGCTGATAACTCTCGTGGAAAGTTCTGCTTATCTTCTACCTCTGGACTTTGGTCTTCTTCCAGAACTGTAGTTTTGCATACATATTCATTTTGAAAATCGGGTGTACATGTACACATACTCTTAGTTCTTTGCCTCACAGGCAGATACGCTTTGACTTCGCCCTAAACTCCCTACCATTACAAGTCAATTGTTACGACATACTTGTTTCGGGGAGCAGTATGTCTACTCGTTTGCCCCCCCCCCCCCCACTTTTTCTACCTAGAATGAGGACCTAGAACACACACGTGCATGTTGCCAGCCTGTGCATCGCTTGGTCGGTGGCTTCGTTTATTTTCAGAACTCCGATGCCTTCTGTCAGACTTACTTTTCCTGACTTCTGTCGAAACTAGTGGGGTTCACCTCTTTGCGTGCCAGGTTATACCTGATGTCCACAGAAAGCAGTAATGACAACATCAAATTTATGGGGACACTATCTCTATAGCGTCCTAACATCTTTATAAACAAATACGTGCTAAAACATCTTCAATGGTAGCAGTAACGAATCAATCCTATATCTAGCGCAACCTGCAGATGATGCTGGACTCACTTTAAAGAAAAAATAATCAATGCTCAACAGCTGACATTACCTGATGCCTATTTAAGCTGGTTCGACGTGGGACTCGTGGTCATTGAAAAGACAATCCTTCTACATGGATTAACCTGAGACTTTCTGGCCGACAGATGAGCGTCTAGCCCGAATGTTACAAATAAAAAACATACCATCGAAAAGGTTTCTCATGGACAGAATATATACTAGTTCAGTGACACTGTTGGGTCACTGGTTGATGTGGACCGTCTGATGCGTTCCCTCCTCCTCTACCTCTTTTCGGCAAAATTGGCATATGTGAAGCTTTTTCAGTGAGATACTACATTGAGCATCCAGTGATTTCCTTGGTCTGCTTCTTTTTCTCCCTTTTAGCCTCTTCTTCTGGTCTCAATGCTAGCTGCAGTAGATTACAGTCGTGAAAACAATAGACTAACTGCTGGCTGCAGTAGCCTACAGTCGTGACCACACTAGACTCTCTGCTAGCTGCAGTAGATTACAGTCGTGACTACACCAGACTCACTTCTGGCTGCAGTAGATTACAGTCGTGACCACACTAGTCTCTCTATTAGCTGCAGTAGATTACAGTCGTGACCACACCAGACTCACTTCTGGCTGTATTAAATTACAGTCGGGACCACACTAGACTCTCTGCTAGCTGCAGTAGATTACAGTCGTGGCCAAACTAGACTCACTGCTGGCTGCAGTAGATTACAGTCGTGACCACACTAGACTCACTGCTGGCTGCAGTAGCCTACAGTCGTGACCACGCTAGACTCACTGCTGTCTGCAGTAGCCTACAGTCGTGATCACACTAGACTCACTGCTGGCTGCAGTAGCCTACAGTCGTGACCACGCTAGACTCACTGCTGGCTGCAGTAGCCTACAGTCGTGACCACACTAGACTCTCTGTTGGCTGCAGTAGCCTACAGTCGTGACCAAACTAGACTCAATGCTGGCTACTGTAGCCTACAGTCGTGACCTCACTCTTTGGATTTGCTAGGTGGATAATGACAGACCTAATGAAGCCGTCTTCGTGAAAGACAAAGATAATGAGAATAAACCAGGCAAATAGTAATGTGGTTTTTCTTAATGACACCCCTCAAAGACGTGGAGTCGTACACCTATTTGGACAGTAATGTAGATACAGATGGGGGGGGGGGGGGGGGGGTGGTGGTCTGACAGAGATATTAAAATAAGAATTCAAAAGACAAGAGAGGAGCTTTCATAGCACTAGGGATTTTGTGAGGTAAAAAGAAATTAAAAGAAATACTTACATTGACATGTTTAATTCTAATGTCAAATCAGTACTTGTATAACAACTAAAGCAATTACTAATAAACTACAGACATTCATTAAAACTGGTGCCTGCGCAGAATAGAGGGATTTAAATGGTATGATAGAATCACTAATGTAGAGCTTTGGGAGAGAACTAGGCAAGCTCCAGTGGACCAGAAAGTGAAGAAAAGACGCTGGCGTTAAATAGGACACACATTGAGAAACCCAGAGAACAATATAACTAGAATGTATTTGCATTGGAACCCACAAGGGAATAGGAATAACAGAGGGCCAAAAAACAAAAGACACACATCGTGAAGGAAGCGTGAAAATGAAGTTAAAAATATAGAGAGGACATGGCAAAGCTGCATGCGATAGCAAAAGATATAACGACTTGGCGTGAGTTTGTTGGGGGCCTATGCTCCATTAGGAGCTAAAAAGTCAGAAGAAGAAGAACAAGAATGATGCCGTCTTTGGGGTGAAGACACGTCACATTATAACCACCATCTTCATGTTAGCAGAGGCATCTTAGAACTGCTTCGGCACCAGAGTTCTGATCACGCATGGCAATGTCCAGTGTGCAGTACCGTTAATTATAATACCCAACAGTAACCTAATATTATCAATGCACACTTTGGAGAAATACTGCTACCAATTACACATGGTAAATTTTCATGTCAAAAACTGTCATTGTGCATTTACCACTTTCGCAGTGTACGCGGAAGATCTTTGAGGTTTTGATTTTTCTCAGGGAAAAAAAAACATATTATTCACTAAGAAACTCAATCAACCCAAGACTCATTTTATGTACGATTTGCTTCCAGAATGCAGATATAGACGCCAGAGATATCCATGAACGCACTCCGCTACTTCTAGCAGCATCCAAGGGCTGCTGGGATACGGTACAGATGCTTGTCCAAAGGGGAGCGGATATCAGAGTCAAGGACAAGAATAGTCGCAATTTTCTACATTTGGCGATCAAATTTGGTGGAAAGCTCAAATCCATAGGCGGTTCATTTATGAAAGTATGTTTTTTTATTTATTGTGTTCGTAATTCGTTCTAATTTTTGTTCATGTCATCTAGATTACAATTACCGTAACTGATATCGACGACACAAAAGGTACATTTATAACAATTACTACTGTGGTAAAATGATGAATTGTATGGTAATGTTATATATAGTTTATAAAAACAGTCGCGATTCAACATTCTATGCAAACTGGTAACCACACATTTGCTCCGTTTCCATGCAAGCAAACAACCCCCCGACCCACCACCCCACCTCCCCCCCCCCCCTAAAAATTCAATCACTACGAATTATATCGAAGCAGACCAGTTCCAAATCAATCGCGTAGCTTGCACACGCAGTAAATGCATAAGGCAGCCATTCGTAGTGACAACATCAACAGTCTGTCACTAGACTTGCAGTTAATAATACATGAAAGCAGCAAATCGCTACACATTGCACATGCAGTGCTGCAAAGGCACACCGACATTTCTGACACAAACCGTCTACTCGCCATTGTCAGAATATTCAGTTCACAACATAAACCCTTGTGAGCACAGACGAAAAGCATTCCCAATGAAATCCACAGCTGTTTCTGAGGCACCAAGCATTCGCATCAGTAGCTGAGAAGCCGAACGGTGCAGCCACGAGTCCACATCTAAGAAAAATGAGTCAGCGAAACGGTGCCGCCTCAAGTCCAGATACGAGGAAAATGAGTCAGCGAAACGATTCCGCCCCAAGTCCAGGTATAAGGAAACTGAGTCAGCACAACGATGCAGCCCCAAGTCCAGATACGAGGAAAATGAGTCTGCTAATTATGGGTACAGGCAAAGAACACTCTTTAACCGAATGCCTGCCTGTTCGCCTTTTTGAATTGGAAGTATGTTGTGTTAATATGTTTAGACCTTTAGATGTAGGTAATGTAATCATTTTTAACAAAATGTAGAATATTAAGCATATGTGTATAACGATACACACTCGGCAGGTGATGAGGTTAATACTACACAGGTCATCTTTACTGTGCAGTCAATTATCCCGTATACATTTTAGTTGATGGTAGTTCTGGAAGCCAGGTCAGTAAAGAAACAAATACACAGCCCGAAGATACGTTGAACACACGGCTACTTGGCTATCAGATAGTTAGTTAGTTTGTTAGTTAGGTTGTTAGTTAGTTAGTGAGTTAGTTTCGTTGTGTGTCCCTTATAGGTCGTTGCAGAACCAACACCAGCATTGTTTGGCTGTTGCGGTTTTTCTAAGCAAATTTTCAGTTCACCAGTTTGCCTTTGCTTTCTGACTGATCAGCTCTAGGTACCACTGTTAAAACCAACACAAGAAAGATCGTCCGCAGTGGGATCGAACCCGACACCCTGGCATTACAAAGCGAGGTTTGCTTTGCGAATTATACACATTGCACATCGAACCATTTAGTCCATATTTGCTCGGAGTCCTCTCCTTAGTAAATCCACAGCGTATAGCAGCTCACGACACCAGTTCTGTTTTGGTTTCTTATTCTTCTTTGGCTTCCTGTATAGCGCTCTTGCCTGGTCATACCCCTCTTATGTTAAGTTATGTTATCACAATCGACGTCACAACACATTGGACATTTCCATGCGTGCTCAGTCCTCCGATGCAGCAGCCACTTCAAAGTACTTCTACTAATTGTTCCAATGAGAAGCTGGTTATATTGTCTCTTATCTTGGCCTCGAAGACCGCAATGACGTGCTTCCCCATGCTTTACTCCCCTCGCAATCGTGTTAGTGTCAGGGATTCCTCATTATCCACTAGCCCAGTCCGTACAGCGTTGACGATATCTGATCTGTCCATGCTTCTCCGCGCAATCCTTAGTGCAGTGCTTGCAGTTGGTCCGCAACTGTCAGCTATTCAGTTCTTGTCGGCAAGTGACGTTGTGTCTCTTGTCATATCACTTGTTCATTAACGGACTGTCCTAATGTAAATCCCCGGATTGCACACACAACACAGCTGATTACACTCACCAGAATGTGACAAACTAGACATTTTAGACTTGAAACGAGAAAGGAAATCTAAAGCAGTTCGTATCTGAAGGGAAGCTAGGCTTTGGCCCACATATTATCGGAATGGAAATGATATTCACAGTTCAGCAAACAGAAATGAGTGACACATAATTACCAACGCATGGGTTATATTATAAGGCAACATATGCTGTAATATAAACCACATTTGACTGTCTGCATTGAAAGGTGACCAGTGTAATGGTTTAAAATAAATCAATGTATTACCAACACGAACAAATGATATGGGAGTTGTGAAGAACAACATCATCACCGCTGTCATCATGTGTTGTGAACTGAATAGTCTGACTCTGGTGGGTTTGTGACAGAACTGACAGTGCGGCTTTTCAGTATTGCAGGACAATATCGAAACAGCTGAGATAACCTTTTAATTAACTAAACTAATTGGATTATTCAACAACAGTGCTTTAGCCCACTTCTCCACTCAAAGCCTACAATTACATTGCAAGGAAATCATGTGATAACTGCTTCATGGTGTGCGTTAGGACCGCGAGTATTCAAAGTGGCTCTTCACAAAGACATGCATTGAAAGAACATAGAATACCTAAGAAAGGGCGCAATAAGCGTATCAGAAGAGGTCCAGAACAATTGTAATTAACTTTACTGTGCATCACTTTATACATCCTTGGTATCCACCCTCACCTGAAAACTGTTCAAGCCGTGTATCCTCTCTGGATTGCTACCTGAAATGTTTGACATCCTGAGATCAGAACGTCAGAATCTGCTTGGCAGATCAACAGGACCTGAAAATTTGTTACTGGCAAACTAAAACAAAAATGCTCAGTTCTGGTGCAAGACCAACAGGGGCAAGCATAGATACACCGTTCAACCTTTATTAAAGTCATAATTAGGGCATCCACAACGGCCAAATCAGTCCTGGTGTAAACTTGCAGTCCTTTATGGGACACACATAAGGAGTATTTATCTCTAGGCATTTCTACTGCACTCCACATAAGCCAGGTGGAAGCTGCCTGCCGCAGTGACTAGATATGACTTCGCAGCAGAGCGGATTTTATCAAATGACCTTGGCTTCCAGGTAGACCATGCCTAATTTTGATAACATGCATTAACCTCAGAAACAAAGTTCACTGGTGTGATATTGATCACATCACCGATCGACTATCGATTGGTTGATACACATATGAGTCTACCATCAAATTTATGATACGCCAGTAGCGCCAAAAGAGTCCTTTGCTTACGTATTTACCTGCATTTGCCAGTGACACTGGGGCAGGAGAAGTAAGCAAAGAATGACATTTTACCACGGAAAATTGTTGTATGTTGCTTTCTGTTGAGTCTGCTAATGGGGTCTTGTGGATGTTTACTGTTAGTTTGTTCTCTCCACAATCCCTTGTATTTTCCTTTGATAAGTGTTCTGATTTCTGGTAATGACAATGAATGGGCGTGTTGTTTCTCCTTTGTTCCATTTTTTGCAAGTCTGTCTGCTAACTCATTTCCTGGTACGCCGCAGTGAGTCGGGATCCATTGGAGAACAATTTGATTGTTTTCTGTGAGTCTGTTTAGCTGACGGTTAAGTTCTCTTTCCATGTTGCCTCGTGCATCCCTATGAGTCGCCTAGAGGACTGATATGCAGTCACACGGGAAAACAATTTTGCTGTTTTTAATTTTTCTTTCCCTGAGCACTTTGGCTGAATCAATAATTGCTTGCTGCTCTGCTTTGAAGTTTGTTGAGAGTCTTCCGGAGGCGCATGACGTGTATACTGTGGTCCCATCTTGCAGCATGATGACCGATCCTGCTCCTCAATTTTTGTCTGCTCCCTCCAAGGATCCATCGGTGTAAACGTGTGTCCATTCGGGTTTTGGATAACAATTGTAGACATGTTCAAGGGTCTTTGCCCGCAGTACTAGGTCACACTCTTCAGCCTTTCTGACTATGCCTGGAATTTTTGTTGTTACTGTATATTTAGGCTGTAGGTCTTTGCTGTATGCCTGGATCATTTCCCATGTTGAAGGATCTTTAGAAAGGATGTCACTGTTTTTTGTGTAGTATAATTTTGATAGACGGTGAAAGCTTTGTCTTTTCAGTCGGTTTTTGGTTAAGTGTTTTGCTATTCTTTGCATAGGGTTGTTGTTCGTGCGTTTAAATTTTTATGTTAGGGTAAGCACCTTTTCTTCCCTTTGAAGGCTCAAGCTCCCGAGGCCACAGGTTGCCTTCAGTTCATTAATTGGTGTGCTTCTCAAACCTCCAGTGATGATTCTGAGACCAGTGTTCTGTATTTTATCCAGTTTGTGTAGGTTTGATTTAGCTGCAGTGGAGTATGCTCCAATACCATACTCCAGTTTTGGTCGTACTTATCCTGTGTATACCTGTCGTACAGTGTTGGCATTTTCCCCTCTAGCTTGTTCCAGTAAGTTTCTTCATAAGTCTGAGCCTCAGGGTAGCTTTCCTTTGGGTGTCTTTAATGTGGAGGCCCCATGTTAGCCTTTTGTCAAATTTTACTCCCAAATATGTGGGGTTATCCTCTTTTGGAAGGATCAACCTGTTCTGGCTTTGTGGAAAGAGAGAATAAAGTTGAGACGGTTTTGGTCTGGTTTATTGTGACTCCCCAAGAGTCTGTCCATTTCTTAACTGTATTTATAGCTTCCTACATTCTTGTTTTAGTTGTTCCTATGTGTTCAGATTGAGTCCATATGGCCAGGTCATCTGCGTGTAGCGCCTTGTGAATGTGAGTCATGAACTGTTTTGTGAGGTCATTGCTGAAAAGAATAAACAGGGTAGGAGATATGACACCTCCCTGGGGGACACCTTCTTGTAACCTGACCAGCTTACTCTTGTAATTTTCCAGTCTGACTCTTGCACAGCGTCTGTAAAGGAAGTCTCTAATCCAGGCTAACATATGCCCTTTTATCCTTTAGTGTGCTAGTTTTAGCAACAGTCCTTTCATCCACACCCTATCGAAGGCTTTGGTCCGGTCGAATAAAGTAGCCATCAGTTTGTATTTCTTT